GGTATGGAAATGTCCAGAAATACTGCGACAATAGCCCTTCTCTGCTAACGGGGCAGCTCTACAATGTAGTTCTTACAGAGGTTTATGAAAATAACCTTAAGTACTGCAAAGAAACTTCCATTTGGGAAGCCACAGGGCTGCTTTCRGAGCAGCATATTTATGTTTTCATATTTCATCACTATCTTGAATATAAAATATAGTTGGTTGGAAAGTATTAAATTATTGCAATGAAAGACAGATTTTGAGAAAAGCGTGTTCAACTGCATGTATGGAGGCATGCAAAAGTACACTTTACCCAGGCTGAGAAAGCAGCTGAACGTGCAACTGGTAGTTCTGACATGCAAATGTTCATTGCATGTGTGCGTTCAATTCTCTTTAACATTTAGGTATAAATTACATTTTATCACAGCTGCCCTAACACATGTGTGGAGTATTTTATTCATTTATTCTGTCTTAAATCAGAAAATACTTCTTATATGTTTGTGCATTTTTAAGAAGAGATCTCTGTCTTTTCCCAGATTATTTTTTTTCTGTTTTCTAGCACTACTCTGCTAAGCTGGTTTCTGACTAATATTATTGACCATTTCCTAACAATAAGCCTGYTAATTACGATTCTACGTTTTCGTATGCAGAAAACTCAAAACCGTTTCCTCCTTTCCTTAACTGTAGCGATATTGGAGTATCCTACCCCATCAATTATGCACAAATTTATTTACTGTTATATATAAGATTCCTTTTTTTCATTTTTATAGTCTTAAGTTAGTTCACATATTATTAAAAACAGGAAATGATAAGAAAGAATGATAAAAATGAAATGATACAGAAGAAAGAAACAAACACATAAGAGCCTTCTAGGTGTTGTGTCCCCCTTTGTATGGGACAATTGCTATGTTAAAAATGCAAGATCTTGGGGAGAGAACAATGAAATATAGGAACCAAATCACAATTTCGGTTGAAAGAAGAATTTATCGTATCAACATTTCATTTTTGTTTCAAATTCCATCTTTCATCTGTTTTCACTCAAACTATTCAGAGCCCAACTTCACCAGGATAGTTTTCGGCACCTTTACCGATTCAACAAATAAACGAGCTCTTAGCCACCCTTTAAAAATAATTCAGACTATTAATATGAATACCTGATATATTCCCAGTATCTAGGTTGTCCAGCTTGTTGATCTAGAATCCCTGTGAATCTAATGCCTAAWTTATCTGTGTCTTTATATGCGTTGGGGGGAAACGACTGCAGGAGGCCCATCTCTGTGTGGATGAGACTCTTTCAACCCATGGACAACTGGAACATCCCTGCGAATGTAAGGGAGTCTGACAAAGACTGGAATTTTCTTTCTACATGTAGAATTTTTGCTTAAATTGTTAAATTTAATAGTTATTTAAATTTAATCTACTTGGGCAAAAATGCCTTGCACATTAACTACCCTACTTATTTCTTTGGATAAATAGCCCTTYGTAAGTGTAGTTATTTCATTTTTATAAACCATTCTCTCTTTACATAGTTACCCAAAACACGTTTTGCAGATTTTGTCTGCTTACAAATCTATTCAAATCAATCACAGAAGACAGATTTTCGTATCGGTACTGCATTCGTAGATTCCTAACACAACAATGAATTTTCATTATAAAACTAAATCATTCTCTACACCTACAAATCTCCTCAGTATCTTACAAGCCCAACTGAATCTCTGTTTGATTGTAAATATGCATTGCAGAGTTTAGTCTACAGGTAACGGGCACAAAAGAACACATCTATTTTACTGGCTTCCTGAGCAAGGAAATACCAGATGCAAGCAACAAATCTAGCAAAAACTGAGGAAAACAACTAGAACTAGAAGCAGAACTGGGCCCAGACTGAGATCTGAGGTGCTTTTTAAGGGGCATCAGCAAAATGTTACCAGGTCTTTTATGGTGTGATGGTCATTGTTCTCTGTTTTCTAATTTGCACATAACAATTAAATATTCTCATTTTGCTGGTATACCCTTTGTAATGAATGATTGATGCTACTCTTGTTTGATACCATGTTCTCTAAAATCTCCACTGCTTTATATATACACACACACACATATATATATATTTGCATAAACAGAAGTCTATTAGTTCTTCTGGGATCCCCTGAGTTAAAGGTATTAGACTTACTCATTACTTCCAAAGATTATTCCAAGTTCTAGAAAATCAGAATGCGTAATTATTAAATGAAGTCATTGTTTTAAAATTTATTTGACCCAGGAAAGCATTCATGAGGGACTAAGTTGTCTAACCACACCTAAGTATTCATTGATGGCTATTCTGTGCCATCAATGACCACCAGTTTTATTCTGTGGATAAATCGATTTTCAATCAACAGAAAAACACAGGAAAGGTTGGTYATTGGCAGATCTTTCATTTTGACCAACATCATTAACTCATCATAATTAAGTTCAGGCACTTCCTGCTTCTAACCTGCAGAAGCCCTTCTGAGAGAACAAGAAAAGAAGGTATCAGCCATTTGAACCCTGCTGGATGAGCGAGCCAAGAAGTCTCTAATGGCTGAATCTGTTTTCTAAAAGCATCTCCAGTGTCAGTACATTCATCACAAATAAAGCAGTTTAGGGCAATGGAGCTGGTGTTGGTCAAAGATGCTAAACTTAAAGCCTGTAAACTCCCAAACCTTTATTTGTTAGCAGACCAAGCACAGCAGATCCCTGCTATCTCACCTCAGCTAAAGGTTGAAGGGGGCAGTTGTGAAGATAAGTGGGGAGGTCACGCACTGTTGCCACAATTAAAACTAGTTTAGAAAATGTTAATGAGAAACAGGTTTTCCAAAATATTTAGTATCAGCAGGAGCAGAATCATGTTTAATCCAAGTGGTTTAGTTGTCACAGAAGTACCCGGAACCCGAGCACCTTCTATGATGCCACTACTGTGCCACTTCAAGCTTTGGGTACATCTATACCTTGAGCAATCCATCCATGCTAGTTTGAGTATTCTGACCTTTCTGAGCATTGTTTTTTATGTGAAACTATAATAGATTCTGAGCATTAATCAGACAGTGGTGTGTTTTAGACCATAACTGCGCTCTTTGAACTGCTGACCTTGAGAGAAAAGGTTTTATATGCCATTCCCAATCCCTTAAGTCTTCCTGTCACTGAAAAGCAAATACTTGACTTTTATGGATGGATTCAGTTTCAAGACTGTTGTTTTTCTGATGTTTTGTTAAAGTTACAAAAGTGGCTTTCAGGGAAAGTTTATAAACACATGCACATTTTTCATTACAGATTATTACCAATAGAGACAGACTTTTGTAAAATAGCATATAATTAGATATAAGTGATAAAAATCTTGCAAACAGGAACATTGTTTGGGGAAACGTAGGGAAAAATAACATGAAGGGCAACAACAGACCCTATCTTTTCCCTTTAGCCAAACACTATACAGTGCTGGCAAAGCTCTTCGACCCAAGTGTGACCAACCGTAAGCTCTACAGACTCCTTCCTCCCTTTATAGCACACACACAATATTTGCAAATAACAGAAAAAAGTTTTATCTGTATTTTTCATAGAAAGAAGTTTTACCTATATTTTCAGATAATTATGGTAGGACTCAAAGTACAATAAAATACACCTTGGTAATCATGCCAACTGTACACATCAGTATTAGCAACCATGCTAAGTAAACTAAGAAAACTAAATACTGAAAGTATAGCCACAAAGAATATGGTTATGATAGTCAATTAGTTCTGGAAAATGACTAGTTCTTCTTTGAAAAAGGACTTAAAATCTTAAATTCTTATCTACAGATGCATAACCTTAGCATTTCCTGAAAAGTTACTGCTAGTCAAGAAGCCATTCCAGTTTCTTGCTTCAACTCAGTGATACCTCCAGTGGGATCAGCCTAACAGTTACCACTGTGACTCTAATCCTATGAACTCTGGAAGGAAGAAGAGCTTCCAGAGTCTCTAGAGCTTTCTGCAGAAGTTATACCTAACTTTCAACCATATCAAGATGTACCTGGGTATTGATACTACCAAATGGTTTACTCAAGGTGCCAGCAACTGAGGATATGGTGCTGGTATTCAGTGCTTTGGACTTTTGAGCTCGTGCTTTAAAGCCTGTGATTTAGCGAAGCAACCACTGAGGCACTACAGCTGATGAAAAACAAAACAAAACAAAACAAAAAAACATGATTAACAGAGACCAGATTTATAAGAAACAGACAAAAGAGGAAGGTGGATGATGTCAAAYGAAAAAAAGGAGCAGAGAAGAGGCAACAATTAGAAACTGGATATTAGAATGAACAAGCAGTGCAGCTGGGAAAGCCTGACTTGGAGATGRATCTTGTCATCCCTCAGTCAGCAAATTCCTCCTGTGAAAGCCAAAGGGCCTTTTGTTGCTGCAGGATCTACCCATTAAAGCTTGGAATGATTTGCTTCCTTACTTTGTACGGACAGTAAAACTCTTTGGGGGCTTTGAAATTATAAATCATCATTTCAAACATATCAGTACTTCATTTTGTAAGAACACCTGCTCATAGAGTTGAGCAAAAACCCAAAATGGCAATATCTTTCCATATTTTTTTCCCTTTTAAAACTTTGTCACATGTTTCCCCTTTTCCCTTCTTTGAACAAGGTTTCTGAACCTCTGGGACGAATCCCTTCCCTAACATGACTAATGATACCTGATAGCACCAGAAAAACACGCAAACAAACAAACAAATCTTCTCAAACCTATGGAAGATTCTTTTTCATATGGCCGTGAATGACACACAAAACAAATATTGGTGTCCAAAGACAACAATATCAAAAGTAAATACAAGTCACTTTCCATGGCTCAGCCATTTTCCTGACACTCAGTTTTACTTCTGCCTTTTTCCCAAAGCAATTGAAAGAAACATCTGATGAATTAATGAAACGAGGCTGAAAAATATATTTTACCTCCAATAAATTAGTCATTTTGTAACAAATATAGAGAAATAGGGATTAGGAAACCTTTGCAATTTATATGCCTCCTACCTTTCTTCTGCGCAGTTTCACTTGACTGTCTGAACATTCCTGTGCGGTCAAATGATTTCCTAGATGTAAACCCTGAACATCTTCTCCTGGACTGATACTTGAGAGGCATTTGTTCTCAGGGGCCACTTGAGGTTTTGTAAAACCACTTTCCTGCAGACCATTTTCCACTGTTAGGATGTGAGCACAAGGAGAAGGCTGCATAAGGCAGTCGCTGGATTCCCCTGTCGAGCATGGTTGTCTATCACTGTTGGTACATGATTCAGAAGATATATTACTCTGTACCACATCACACTCGGGTTTTCCAAGACCTTCCTTAAAAGCATCAGATTTCCTACGCTGTTGTGCAATTACAGCAGTATGAAGCAGCTGTTTCCCAGGCATAATAATTTCCTTCACATTTGGAGAATTTTCCTGCACATCTATTACTTCATTTAAGCCTTCATATTTACAAAGCTCCAGGCTTTGGTCAATGCTGCCACAAATATTTTCTTCTTCCATCTCTTCTTTAGGAACAGGGTCATAGCCAGGTTCCTCATTAATATCTCCAATTATTCCAGATGCATCAGGTTCCTTGTTAGCCTCCATTATTGGTACCAGATTTGTTAAGGAGCCAGCTCCTTTTAAATCCTCTTCTTCACCTTTTGTTTTCATTCCAACAGTAGTGATGTGGTAATTAACACTATCCAGGTGGAGTGCAGAATAGTCATCATCATCATCAGAAACATGGACGAGAGTTTCTGTGCTGGCCTCCAAAAAATGCTCCTCATCTTCATGGTTATCATTTTCATCCACCTCTTTGGAAACGTTTCCAAGCTGCTTGGCAGGRAGGCCAGTCAGCTCTCCGCTCTGACAGCAATCTGGAAATGAAGAGCATTTTTCTTTTCGGTCCACACTCAGAACCTCATCTTTTTCCATACTTGTCTGCAAGTTATCAGCTACGAGTCCGTGACGACATGCTGTATTATACTCCACAGACTCCAGGGCCAATCCCATCCACTGGGTCACATGCTCTTCCCAACTTTTCTTCCTGATTGCTAGAGACATGTCATACTAGTTCAGCAGGACCAGAGGAGATGGCATGGCTGCTCGGCGTCACGCCGCGGGGACAGGAGGTTTCATAACGTTAACATCTGCAAGAAATAATACGTAAATAATTAAATAAATAAAAGCAGGCTTATTGAATCAACTCCAGCTGAAAAAGAAGGGGAAGAAGCAGTTTAAACAAATGTGTAAAAGCGAGATATGAGTGTGGAACCAGAGGGACAGGAATTTAGAAGACTGTTTTGCTTAAAGCTTTAATACTTTTAATACAAAACTTGACAGCACTCATAATTCCCCATAACTTTTTTTTTTGATTATGCTCCAGTATCAAGTAAACAAAAATGTTATAAAAAGGCACATGGACAGTCAAGTAGCTCCAGAGCCAAATTTTGACAATGAGTCTTTCTTTACTATGTCTGTCATAAGATAACCATTTCCATGGATATAATTTGTAGAGCATTTTGACTATTTCCCCAAAAAACAGAGCAGAACTTGGAGAGTTCTGTTACAAACCACTTATTTTATGACTAACTTTGGCCCAGCCTTTTTGACAGTCAGTGCCTCTCATGTTTCACTTTGATCAGGACAAGCTATAGTGACAAATAATACATGAGACTCTAGGGGGAATCAGCTGTTGTGGGAGGTAAAAATATGACTATAGGCAAAATAATTTAAGCCTTGGGTGTATTACTTACCTCTGATATATTCTAAAACTTGAATAAAACCACAGTGAAAATGTTCAGGATCAAGCCCACGTCTACTAATGTGAAGAAGAGATAAACCCTTATATAGGATGGGGATCTCCAAAATGATCACCTGAAAGTCCATACAGTCACTCAGAACTGCAGAGCTCRCCTGGACTCCCTGGTGTCTGTTGTATCCCACCATCCCTACTGAATTCTATCAGGTATATACACATGTAAATACATTTCTCACTGACYCTTGTATCAGAGGGATAATATGTAACATATAGTAATCTTTTCACATTTCTTACATGAAAGAGCACAAAGAAAATACATTATATTGACTTGCACATTATCGTACAACATCAACAGATTCTTTGTGAAGAAGCAAAATAAAACTTCTGGCCCATAAAGCACTGGAAGTTCAAGAAGCAGGCCTGTCTACTTTTCACTCCCTACATAAGTACTGTCATCACTTACCATGGATCCACTCATTGATTTCAGCAATAAAGAAGATTAAGTAGTAAGTTTGTTCTGCGTCATTTCAGTCCACTAAGGCAAATTCTGATTGCCCATCAGGCCACAAAGCTGCCCTGACAAATCACACGCCTGAAGGTATAAAAGTATTCATCGTCAAAGAAACGCAGAATTATGTCTGGGCAAMTGAGCCTCTGTAAACTATGTCTTGACAAAATGACTTTTAGAATAGAGTTGTACACCCTCCTAGATCTTTAAACTTCCTTGAGGATGGTAAGCTTCATTTCACATTCATATTTTCCACCTCTGTGGAGAGACTCTGCTTAAAAAGAAAATATATTCGTAGGGAAAGAGAATTCCATGCACAAGTCATTAGAGTGTGGGAGGCTGAGGAAAACGGAAAATGACACACAGAGCCAGGCAAAAAGAAAACCCAAAAAACAAAAAACCCTGCTTTCAGAGGCAAAATTGGGTAGTAAGAAGCTGGTTCAACTTTAAAGTTCCCTTTTCTTTTCCAGTTAAATATGAGAGCAAGCTTGAATCTTAGAGAGCAAGCTTGAATCTTAAAATGTGGAGTCCAAGTTCTGTATTTGTAGTGCATTTATATTCTTATTCTGCTTTCATTTGATATTTATATTCTACTGTTTTCAAATGTCCATGGTCCAAAAATTATCATAGACTACAAACAAATAATAACACTTTCTCACTTTTGTTGCACCTTCCACCAAGTGACCCTAAAGCTCTTCAAAAGCACTGTGCTTCGTTTTCACCTTTGGCCACATCTCACATGGGTATAACTTATTTGTGCTCTCATTCTCTTTTCCCTACTAGAACAGCAACTCAATTAGTTTTCTTTTTTAAAGAAAAGTCCTTAAAAAATTTAAAAGATTTAAAAGATTTCATTTAAAAATGAATGCAGAAATGCTAAGTGGAAAGGCCAAAAATACAACCTCCAAATGACATTTATGCATCTGTTCATCTAAAATCTAGGCTGATTCACGATCTGCAATCTGCAGGCATGGTAAGAGTTAACGGGTGTGTGTTAATCTTGCTGCTGTTAAATGGAGTTACATGTGTGCAGAGAGGGGAGAACAGATCCCTTACTGTTTTTCATTTTTGGATGTGGAGAGTTATATTTCATGGGGGATGAAAAACAAATAAATTTTACTTTAGGAACCCTTCTGTTTTACTTGTGCTATCACTAGCTTTGGCTGCCTCATGGACTGCAGAAAAAAAATGATTAAACAGAAGAATATCAAATACTTTGCTTGAAATGCAAGACAAATAAATATGTGACAAGGGCACTTTCATTGTTCTCTAAAATATGAGCTTACATTAGCAGTGAGTATGAAAAGTTTACCCTGCAGATGTCTGCTAGCCAGACAGCTCCAGCTCCCAATCAAAGAAATCCTCTCATTCCCTTGGCTCTCAGAGGAGCCCGCTCTGGTRGAAGCTCCCTTTTCTCCCACTTCTCCAGCTCCCTCCACCAAGTCCACACTCTCTASTATATTTCAGCTTAGAAATTCTGTTCCACTTTATACGGCTGTAGTCCAAACTTTCCTACTTTGACATGAAGAACACCCTTCCTTTACCTCTGGATGAGGTTCATAACCTTCTTCCTCTCCTTACCAGCCACTTTGCAGAAGAAAGGCTTGCTGCTTTCTGCTAGTATTGCCTACTTTCTTTTCCCTTCACTAGCAGCATCTTTTGTCCTCTGAGAAATGCCTCTCTTGAGTCCATTTGTTTTCTTCACCAAGGAAATAAACCATTCCCTTTCTCTCTTTCTCAACATGCCATAACTAGAAACATTTCTATAAGATTTTTCCAAATTTTTAAAGCAGGAGGATGAACTCTTAAGGAATCTGCTTTACATAATTTCTTTAGCCAGAATTAATTTTGAACTTATCTGCAGTCACTGAGTGACTTTGTGGCCCTCCGGATCTGGAGAGTGAATATAGATTTTCTTGTTCTAACAAGAGTCAGTGTTTGTCAGTGTTCAAAAAGATCTGAAAGATAAAAAGGAACATCAGTGGGGATTGGAAAGATTGGAAAAAGATTGGGCTGTTTTGTCTATTTTGACTTTTTTTTTAGGAATTAAATGTATGCTTCTATTAAAGGGTTTTGCAAGAACTTAAAATACAACAGAACTATTTTTGCCGTTTAATGCCTGTCACTAAAATGTTTATTTTTTAAATCTAAAATTACAAAGCATTTCTCTTTTTGAATAAAAAGTGCAAGTTTTCTGATAAAAGTATTTATGAAACTTGATGTCTTTCTCTGTGTTGAAGTGCTCTGTTGGACAAAGCATCTGTCAGGGCAATGCAGCCCATTCAGCTTCTGCCATAATTCAGATACATATTTGCTTTACTCATCAGGAGCACTAAATCTGCTACTGCTAACTTTCTGAAAAATAAAGTTCAAAACAAAATAAAAATGATAAAAGGCTTTTGCATGAAAAACGTCTTCATCTTGCATGCCATTTGAGGAAGATTTATCGTAATGACTCAGTAGGCATATCTGGACCAAAGAAATTGGAAAAGAACATTTTCACCTTCCAACAGAATCCCCAGCAAGCACTGTTTTGATGTTCTGTGGTGTTCACAAAGCAAGGTGTTATTTTAGATGCATTTTGGAGTTGTAATAATTTAATGTGCAAAATGAAAACAGCTTTTATGCTTTTTTCTTTYGTAAGTTTTATAAAAGTCTCACAGAGCAGGTATTTATTCTGCAACAGATAAAGCATAGAGTGAAAACTTTTACAAGATGAATTCATCTCTTCTATAATGGAGGCTATCCTATAATTGCGTTGTCTAACATTTTCCTTATAAAGCATTCCTGTGATTTTTTTCCAAACAGCTCAAACTTCAACTTGTTTCTAGCAACCTTTGAAATTCAGAAGTATCCTCRCTTTATCTCATAAAATTTCATGCAGGTTTGGCTGAGCTACACATTTTAGGAAATATCTTTTCCCTCCCCTCACTTCCCTCCTCAAAGCAACGTGGCTGCATGAGTGCCTGTAAGAGAGGGCCAGAAAGCACGAGCTGCTGTGGTGAGACCTCAAAGGAGCTGGATCTGCTGGAGGAAAACTGGAAATGGGAAGGAAAGAAGCTTATTCTAAATCTTTAAATCTTTGATCGGCCAGACCTGCTCTTTTAAAAGCAGTAAGAAACCCTTTCCGTTGGGAGATGCCAAAGCCTGGCCCTTGGCCTGCTGCCTCCTCACTGCCTCCTGGGTTTTCCACCCACAGCCACGTTACATTAAAATAAGAGATTTTGGAATGGAGAATGTCACAAAAAACATGAGAGAGTTCACTAAGCATAAGTGATAGAAAGTTTTTTGATATCAAATGCTGAAGGAGGAATGCGGTTTTGGGGAAAGCTTTAGTTGGGAGGCAAATTTCTTCCGCAAAAAACCAAGGCCAAACGTTAGTTTATACATGCAGATAGAGATGAAAGACCATTTCATTGAATTTTTTACATAGCAGGCATACGTAAGCAACAGAGATCAAGCAGAAACACTTATTTTGTTATCATTATTTTATCTTTGTTGGTCTGTGACCCTAGTCAGCAAACTTTGTTTAAGGAAGTCTGAGCGAACAGGGTCTGTTTCCTATAAACTCATCTCACATCCTCCTGGTCTGGCTTCCATTCAGCGCTTTCACTAGCTTCATACCAAGCTTGGACACAGAATGTTGTTTACAAATAATGGGAGATAAAACATAAGCCTCCAGATCGTTGCTCAGCTAGTTATTCTAAAATACCTCCCTCTGTACAACACACAATCCTTCCTTATTTCCTGCCTTTATATTTCCCTAYGCATTTCCCTAAAGTGGCCACTTATCTTCTCTGCAGTTGTTATTAAATAGCCTTTCATGTACACAGTACATGTATATAGACCATCCAARACCCTGAAGTACTGGAAAAGAAATA